ACCATTTTACCCCTGAGATTTTAACCAAAGAAAATATGCATACAAGAACCTGGCAAAACAATGGTCAAGTCAAGAGTCAAAATGCTCACAAATAGGGTGTCAGGTTTGGATGGGTCTTCGGCGTGCTCTCAAATGGTCCTCAGCTCAATCTCATGATACTCGTGTGTGTGAGTTTCCTCCTCTCCTTCCTAACTTTGGCCAAAAAAACAGTGTTTTAATTTCAACAGAAAAAAGAAAACAAGGGGTTTTTAATTTTGAATTCAAATCAGGAGACGGAAAAAACAAGAGTGAATTGAAAAAGTACAAAGGGTGCTTTTGAGACTGAAAAATTGTTGAAAATAGAAGCGACTTTTGTTAAATATGGTAAGTCTTGATTATGGTGCAACCCAATAGACTGAAAAGGAAAGTATGAAAATAGAAAGATGAGCACATGATAGAGTTTGAGAAGTAATCGCATTATAAAGTTGGCCTAGATTTAAATAAAAACAATTACTCCCGACACCAACTTCTTTTCTCATATTTACTTACGATTCTCTCAGACTTAAATAAAAGTTGGCCTAATCTTGTAGAACCCTACTCTTTTTTTGGTAGCAAAAAGAAAAATTATATAAAGTATCGCGGCACTATTTGGTAAACAAAATTTTGTAAAGTTATTTAATGATTATGAGTTCCTTTCCAAATAACCTTATTTGAGAACATTTTGTGCCTGGTGGAACTATTGTATTTCAAAAATTGAACCGTTGATTTTTCAAATTGTCATTTACAAGTCATTTTTATGGAGGTTGCAGATTAGCGATTATTGAAATTGTTATGTGAAATTACCTATAGGATAGCAGTAGGGTGAAGTGTAAGTTTCCAACGGTTAAGCGTAATAAAGAAATCAAAACATACCTAGAGGATTGATAAGTTGTATCAATCCTCAAATGTGCATATAATAAAAATTAAGAACACATGAAGAATTATTTTACGTGATAAAACCCCACATCTGAAGAAAATCTACGAGATTACTCAGTCTAAAGCAAATCCACTATAGAACAATGATTACAAGAATTATGTTTGTGCAAATTTCTCAAGGAAGAATATTCGCGTGTAGATCTTTCACCTTTTGAGCTTTCTTCTCTTTCTTCCTCAAATCCTGTAAAACAAATATGAGTAAAAGACCACACTCGGGGGGTGTTAGCCAAAGGTCCTCTAATGCCTAAGTTAGTTCAATTGGATCTTTAAGAAAAGATGCGGCAATAGCTAAATTAGACAGAGTTTTCTCTCACGAGGATAGCCGGGTGGCCCGAACGATGTGTGGTGGCACTTAGCCGTGTGGGAGAGATGAGAGAGGGAGTGGCCAGCAGCAAAGGAGGTGGCCGACAGCTAGGGAGAGAGAGAGAGAGAGAGAGAGAGAGAGAGAGAGAGAGGTTTCGGGGGATTTAAGTTTAGGATCACCTTGTGTGTTGAATGTGGCCATATATTTATAGGGCTATAGCCATCTAGGGTTTTTCAAAGAATAATTCATATTTGGAAGGAAGATATTTTTTTTCCCTTAAATGAGGAGATTGAGTCAATTAGGGATTTGGATTATAATTAAATCCCTAATTTATGATAATATTCCCAAAATAAGATAATATCCCAAATTGATGATATTATCTTTAATTGGTGATTATATTCTCAAATAAAGATAATATCTCATATTTAAGATAATATCCCTATTTTTTGTCTCAATTAATTGGCCAAGTAAATGAGCCCAATTATTGACCTAGGTGATATTCTTCTTGTCCACGTGGCGCCTTGTGATTGAAAGTCGGAATATTTGCTCCCACAAAGTACTCACACACTCATCCTAGACACATTCTAGACAATGTTTACCGACTTCTTCATAACTCAACTTTTATCATGGGATGATCTTTCGACACTCCTTATGTTGAAAGCAACACTGACCACGATTGCTTCTAGCTCACCGGAGTTCTTCCAACTCTCCTTATGTTGAATCCAATACTGGTCGTGATCGATTCAAACTTACAAGAGAAAAACCGCCACCACAACCTTGGTGCCATCAACTGTATGAGTCACCAAACATGCAAATGAATGCAATATGAATGATAAAAGTGTTTGATAAATCACCAAGTAAAAATGGAACACGATTTATCTCAAATAAAAACTCAACTTTCCAAAATTTATGGACTGAAAATATGATGAAAACTTTGAAAAATAGTCCTTCAAAACAAAGATTGCTTGATTGACAAAAAATAAATTAAATCCCAAAAACATTATCATTTTCTATAGATAATTACATGTGAAATTAAACCAATAGAAAAGGCAAATATACAACAAAAGAAAGTTTTAATCAATCACAATATCAAAACAATCGAAATGTGATCAGACACCTTTGTGGGAACATATATTTCACCGGCCAATAAGAAGACGACACGTGGAAAAGGAATATTCCTTAAGTCAAACTAATTATCCTAATTAATTTCTATTTAATTAGGGAAATTATCTTTGATTTAAGATAGGAATATCTCCCTAAATCAAGGAACCAATCTCCACCAAATCTCTTGGAGTAATTCCTATAATATTTTTTGAGAAGAATAATCCTAACCAAATAAGGATTATTCTCCCAAAACCCTAGCACACAAGGAGACTATAAATACATAGCCACACAAGACATTCAAGATAATTCTAAATTCCTCTCTCAATACCAAAACTCTACACAAAAATCATCTCTCTTTCTCCTTGTCGTCGCCCCTCTCTCACTATCTCTCCTCACAAGGCTAAGCACCACTACACACGGCTAAGGCCACTCGGCTCTCCCCATGAGAGAAAACTCCATCCAGTTTAGCTATTGTCGTATCTTTTATCAAAGATCCAATTGAACTAACTTAGGCATCGGAAGGCCTTTGGCCAACACCCCCTGGGTGTGGTCTATTTACTTCTATTTATTTCGCAAGAATCGAGGAAGAGAGAGAAAGAAGATCAAAGATCGAAGAATCAATCCGTGAATATTCCCTGTATGGAATTTTGCACAAACAACCTTGATATTGTGATATGATTGAAAACATGATTTCCAAGCAAGTTACTTAAAGAAATAATAAATAAAAGATATTGAAAATTATGCCTAAATGAAATCCAATCCTAAAGGGATTCTGATTGACGTAAAATTAGAGAGAAATCATGAAAATAAAATCATATTAAATGTCAAAAACGTTCCTATCATGTGTTCATGAGAAATGACATGGCTTACCCTTGGATCAAATGTCTCATAAGTGTTAAGTCACAATTATATTATTCAAGGATTGTTGGGATGTTTCAATCCTGCTGTTTGTGCAAATAATCGCTAGGGTGAATATTCGCTTCTAGATCCTTCGCCCTTTGAACTTCCTTCTCTCTCTTCCTCGATTCCTCTAAAAAATACCATAGTAAATAGACCACACCTGGGGGGTGTTAGCTCGATACCTTAGTTAGTTCGATTGAATCTAGGTGAAACAATAGCTAAAAAATGGTATGAAGATTTCTCTAGGGTAAGAACTAGGTGGCCAGAGCTGTGCGGAGAATATATGGAGAGAGGAGAATGGAGAGGCCGACAGCAATGGTGTTGCCGTTGGCTAAGAGAAAGGGAGAGTGGAGCTTCAGGTATTTTTCTAGGGTTTTTAGAAGTACCTTGAGTGTTTGGTGTAGCCTTGCTAGGGTTTTGTAAAGAATAAGCTCTTATTAGGAAGGAGTTTATTCTTTTCCCAAATTGTAGAGGTTGAGTCCATTAGGGATTTGATTGGGATCAAATCTCAGAATTTGATGATGATAATATCTCTTAATTAGGATAATATCTAAATTGGTGGTATTATCTTATTGAATAAAGATAATATCCCATATTTAAGATATTATCCTTATTTTTAGTATTAATTAATTGGCCAAATAAATGGGCTCAATTAATTAACTTAAGGGATATTCTTCTTATCCACATGATGTCTTGTAATTAGAGACAAAAATATTTGCTCTCACACCTGCAGTTTCTGGAAATCAAAGACCTATACTACGTTCTAAGAAATGCCAACACAATTTCATACTAACATTATGTGAATATCTTCAAAAAGTGTGAGTGTAAATAATGTCATTATTACCCATATTATACTAATGAAAAATGTTAGATGTATCACATTCATTATGCACTACCTCCCTAACAGGACACTTTATATGGTTGGACTCCACCTCTATTAGAAATCTCCTTAGCATTACTTACTCTACAAGTTAGGATTTATTAGCAATTACCAGAGAAGATGCCTTTCTTTTCATTGCACATTTTTGCTTACAAGAATCCTACTCTCTAATAAGAGGGTCAAACTTAACTACAAAAAAAAGTTGGCCCACAAGAATTCTCCACTTGAGAATTAACACCATGTACGCCAATTATATACCAAAAAGGGGAAGTATTTTCTTCAGCATACTACTCGACTCGACACGCTCAAAACTGCTTCTTTAATTTTTTTTAATTTTGTTATACAAGCGATTTTGGGAGGTGGGAGAGGGGAGGGAATCAAACCTAGGGCCTTGAATTTAAGGTTAAATACTCATAAAGACTTCAGTTATAAATCCCTTGCAATCTGCTTCTAAATTTAAAAAAGAAAGAAAAAATAAGAAATATATTTGAAAAATGCAAAGGATGACTGTAGAAACAAGTCATAGAGGATCTTGATTGCAAAAAACACACAGAAACAAGTCAAACTGTACCAATACTATAATCTGTTCCCATCTGGCAATTGCTATTATATATAGCCGGCCATTTATGGCACTTTGTGGTTGCTTCTTCCTTAATTTAAAGTTGACTATACTTTTGACCATGCATATTGGCCGGACCTGGAAATATTAAAATGAAATATCCATCTTTCATTGCTAGCTCTCCGATCAGCAACTAACTAATTTAGCACTATCTCATCTAAACCAAATCATTCTTCCTCTCATTTTCTTTTTGATATCAGAAAAAAAACAAAAACAAACAAAAAAAACAAAAAAAAACAATGATTTATCTCTGCTTTTTCATCTTGGTTTGCCTAAATTTAAGCTATGCTCAGCAGTATTATGATCCAACTGGGTGTGCTTCTGATGCTAGCTATTCAGGCTCAAGATACATTTGCAATATGTTCCAAAATTCTTGCAGAACATTCTTGGTCTACCGAGCCAACCCGCATTTTCAGACTGTTTCGAGTATCTCGGAGTTGTTTCAGATGGACTCTGATGCGCTGCTTGGGCTCAACAATCTTAATTCTCCTTCTGAGGCACTCAGAGCAGGTAGGGAGGTTCTTATTCCCATTGACTGTTCTTGCTCAGGTCAATATTTTCAGGCAAGTTTCAGCTACATGGTTTCCGAAAACACATCATACTCCGAGATAGCTTGTGGCATTTTCGAAGGCTTGCTGAAGTCCTTTACACTTAGTGAGGAGAACTTTTCCCAAGAAAACAAGCTTAAGGTTGGTACTGAGCTTCTTGTGCCTCTAAGATGTGCTTGTCCTGATAGCAGTAGTGGAGACAAGTACCTTGTGACATACCCTTTCGTTGAAGGCGACAGCCCAATCATATTGAGCCAGAAGTTTGGCATCTCTCCTGAAGATTTATGGTCCGTAAATCATTTAGGACCAAGCCAAACTGTATTTCCAAAAACAACTGTTTTAGTTCCCTTGAGAGCACCTCCAGTCTTAAACTTCAATATCCTAGATTCTCCACCTCCAGCTCCTGATTTTCTTCCCACAAATCCTGTGGAAAAAACAGTTAAAAACACAAAAGTGAAGAAATTGTATATAGTAGGGCCTGTTGTTGGGTTTTCTCTGCTACTTGCAGCATTAATTGCATTTATAATTTTGTATAGAAGGGCTTTAAAGAAATGGAAGAGTGAGAAGCTCCAGTCCTTTACTGCTTTGAGCTCTCCAATTTCATGTTCAACAGTCAGAAGCCCTCTTAAATCCGGTCAAACGGGCAGAAGCTCTCCAGTTTCATCATGTTTATCTCCGGATATTCTTGCTGGATTGAAGTATTCTTTGTTCAATTATAGCTTAGAAGAACTCAGGAGAGCAACAAGGGATTTCAATGAAGAAAACAAGATTGGTTCTCTGGTCTATAGGGGGTTGATAAATAATGTTGAAGTGATGATCAAGCAGATGCGGTTTGAAGATACCAGCCATGTTATTGATGTACATTCAAAAATCAACCACATCAACATCTTGAACTTAGAGGCTGTTTCTTATGGAGAAAATCACTTGGCTTGGTCTTATCTGGTTTTTGAGTATCCAAGCAATGGCTGCTTGAGGGACTGCTTGTCTAGTCCATCTATTACTCCTCTCAAGTGGCATCGACGAACACAAATAGCTTTTGATATTGCTACAGGACTTCACTATTTACACTGTTGTACTTTCCCTTCATGTGCACACCTAGACATAAATACTAGAAACATTTTTGTGACAGAAAATTGGAGGGCAAAACTTTCGAATATTGGAACTATCTCTCCATTTGGATCTTCCGAAGGAAATGACAAAGGATGGGTTGCACCAGAGTACCTTCTGCATGGCTCAGCTTCTGAGAAGGTGGATATTTTTGCATTTGGAGTTGTTTTGCTTGAGCTCATCTCAGCAAGAGAGGACATTGATGGAAAGTTTTTCAAAGAGTCCATCAAGTTTTTGGGAGGAGGTGCTAGCGAAGGTGGTTTCCTCGAACAACTTAGGAGCTTCATGGATCCACAGCTGGAGGACTATCCTCTTGCAGAGGCTTTATGCTTAGCTGTTTTAGCAAAGGCCTGTGTGGAGGATGACCCTCTCCATCGGCCGTCCATTGATGATATCATGAAAGTCCTTGCCAGAATGGTCTGATCAGAAGTTGATCGATAACGAAGAGCCAGATTGGTCACCGATTATGGAAGAACACTTGTCCACTGAACTGTAACGGTGTAAAACCTGTGGTTGTTAAAGTTGGATCATAAGTGGTTCCATGCCTCCTTTGTACATATTGTTTATGTCTGTAATATCAGGGTTCTTACATCGATCATATATTCTGTAATGTATGAACGTCCTATGCTTTATATTCATGGACCTTAATATTGTTAGAAATAAACAATTAAATCATGCAGGTGAAAGGAGCTGGATAACTAGAAAAAGAAGGGTTCGAGCATGAACCATGATCCCCATGATCCGAAAATAAGCCACTCATTATTTTAAAGTTATTTTTCTTCATTATTACCCTCTTAAATTATTCATGTTTTAGTTTATTACATCAGTTCTTAGAAAGAGACGCATGCATCCAAGGGTATGTAATTGCAAGACATGGCTGGTTAGATTCCATTTGGTCACTGCTCACATCACATGTTGTCTGAAGAGACTTATTTAATACATTTTCATTTTCTGGTGACGCCAAGAACTTGTTGCTTCCACTTGTTTGGTATATACTTCCCTTAATTCTAATGTTTTATGGACCACCTAGAGTACTAGAAGCTTTTAGCTTAATAAAAAAAAAAAAAAAAATCCCCATAGAAACGAAGAGTAATGGAAGGCGCAAGGCTCTTTAAATTCTCCGACGTGGGATTCACACTCTCAACACGCCCGCCATTTGATAATTTGTGTCAACCTTGCTGCAAGTGGATATGATATCACTCTTTGTTCAATATTTTTGATATAATCCTCTAAAAATCTGATAAGATGAGCTTTATATGATGCCGCTCTTCCCTCCACCCTTGTGTTTTCTACTTAATTCTCCTCATCTTTCTGCCTTCCACTTTCTCTATGTGGGATTTTGATTATTGCTTGAACAGTTATGCTCAGAAGTTAATATGAATTATTTATATGTAACAAAAAGGAAAAGTAATTTAACATGGTCCAAGCTTCCCCCGCCAAAAAAGCAAAAACTTGGAGAAGAAATGGAAAAATGGTGTACAAAAGAAACATAGCTAGAGTAACCCTGGTGATCATAAGTCGCTTATTTAAACCAGACCCTGCATATCTCCTCCAGGTTTCAAGATCTGCAATAAGTGATTGATGGTGATATATACTTGAGCCATAGAACTCTAGCTAGATTCAATTCTCTTCCTCTATGGTGGGTTTATAAAGTTGCACGACGCGCCTGTTTCTCGGTTGAACTGGTCTTGCATTAGTGTCTGACTCCTGCAAGATCTTCCACATTAGTACACAGAAAGTATCAAATTATCAATGCATATATATTTTGCACATTAAAAGATTTAGGATTGAACTTACATCATGAACAGCTACGCGGAGGAATTTGACCTGTTCACTTGAGACACTCCTCACCTGATGATTCAAATAAGATTCAGATAAAAAAATTTGTCACTAGAAAATGTATTATGATGTTTTGGTTAGGGAAGCAGAGGAAAGGAAACTAACCTCTTCAATAATTGTCCAGATAACATCTTGTGTGCAAGGAGGAATTGTAAGAGAGCCAATATATCTGTAATACTTTGTACTGCCTGTTTTTATTTGCTTTGGATCAACCATACCAACCACTTTCTGCTTTTCACTGGTACCAGAGATGTCTGCTAAATAATCCATCATCTAAACACAAAGACAGAATTAAGCACATCAAACATGAGAGAGAGAAATAAAACTATATAATTTCGACTACATGAGAGATGTGGTCAACAATGTAGTCAATAAATGTGGTAAATGTAGCGTCACTCAAGAGATTAATTACCGAAGTCAAAAACGGATCAGGCTCTCCAATCTTATACAGGATTCCAGTCACAGCGATCTTTCCAGTTGGGCTCTGATGAACCAGATGCACCTCTAAATCAAAGCTCTTGTCATTGACGGTGTGTTCAGAAGGTGAGTGCCAGTGGCATTGTTTGAGCTGATACAGAGTTCCATTTATTCGTATAAATCCTGCATCAGCTTCCCACTTCAACTGCAGCCACAAATTGTTTAAACATACGATGATTAATATTTGGTAAAAGTACTTTTTCCTTATGGACTTCAAGGAAAATTAAACTTCACCAAACCCAATTTAAGTACCTTTAGCTCTCTCTTTTATCTTACCATAATATCATGGCCTCTATTCTTAAGAGTTGCATTGCGAGGCCTGTAGCTACCCTGAAGTCTCCCCAAATCCGACACTACTTCAACTCTGTCATCTAATAGATCGATCGGAGACTGCATCGATCCCTTGTTACACAGGCTCCATTCTTGGCGAATCTCTCCCCATCGAGCTGGCCCCTTCTCACTGTCATCTTCATAATTAAACTCCCTCTCATCTTCTGCACCATCAAGAATATTAACAAAGATGAGAAGCAATGGACTAATACCAAAATTCCATAGCAGCACTACCAGTGGCCAACTTTATAAAGCAAGCAAACCAAAAGTTCAGCTAGGTCTCAGCCAACTTACTACCACAATTATATGCATGTATATATAAATATATATATATACAGTCCCCTTCTATTGAGGGATCTCTCAAATATTATTTGAGGGACACCCTTTAGGGTACCCTACGAATTTTTTTTCAACAATTCAAACCATCTATTTTTTAAGTCTACATTCATAGATCATCCTTGCAAAAAATTAGACAAATCGGAAACCGTTTCGATATCCAATTGTGTCCTACAAAATCAACAAACATAGTGTTTCAAGAAAGTACTAAAATTTCAATAATTCAATTGAGTGGTCAAATGATATCAAATTCAAGTGATTTTTTTGTAGAGTTTATCTTTGAATGAGTATCTACAAAATAGACGGTTTGGATTAGTAAAATACAATACGGATTGGGCCCTAAACTTATTTGAGGGATCCCTCAACCGAAGCTCTCTATGTATATATACATATAAAACAAGGAAAGTTGAAATTCCCTTGTGAAAAAATGGCTGAGAGAAAAGATCACAATGACATGTTTGTTTCAGAAAATGCATAACCTACCCAAAAGAGAGATTAATAATGAAACTGTTTAAGGGCACATTCTGTATTTCTAAATAGTTAAAATAATAATGAACATGAAGTTATTAATGCCCTTACCAACTTCGTCAGATGTTGCTTGGTATGAAAGCAGCAAAACAAGGACAATGAGGAAACTACAAACCAAGATTAGGGTGGCAAACTTCTCCATTTTTGTGCTGCACTGAGAGCTTATCGGGGAATAGGTTTAGTTGCTTACATATATATAGGCATCAGCCTGAAGTATGAAAACAGAAAAAACAAGTGTTCCACGATCAAGAGACTTTCAAAACAAATTTTCTTCTTGGACTTCATATTTTCTCATGTGGAGATCTGATTTGAAAAAAATTAGAAGACAGACAAGTTACCCGTCGATACACAATTTTTAATTAACTACATTAAAATATATATACCATTTGGAAGAAGACCCTAATTATGGTGCTCTTTTTCTTGCTTTATGTCTTAAATTTTCTACAAGGTAGACTCCATCTGGTTTACGTCGTTGGTGACGATTCTTGAAATAATTATTAGAGTTTTGATTTTATATATCTATGCGTCATGCATTTGAACAGGTCGCTATAGTCTTGGAGGTTGGCAAAACATGAGTAGGTTTAATACTTGGGTGGTTGGTGGTTTGAAGGTGATGTACGAGGTTCTACGTACCTAGTCTGTTTGTGATTTACTTGTTTTTTATTGAGAAATTCTATGATTGCATTCATAATACAGCCAAAAAAGCAACTAGCCACAAATTGCCAATACAAACTAGCTACAAAGGGCCATTACAATAACAGAGCTGTCTAACATCGAAATTAAGACAATCTAGTGTGCCTCCACTAACAATCACGCATGATTGAAGAAACTATGGCATAGGCATCCCAACTAAGATTGCAAACTCAGAATAATCAAAAAGAGATCAAACTTGAAAAAACCAAGCCATAACAATACAAATAAAACTCTCATAAAGAAAATATGAAAAGCTCTCACAAAGAAGAAGTAAAAAGCTCTCATAAAAGGATAGGTGAGAACTACACAAAGAACTCAAAGAATCTTTGTGACTTATTCCAAACATAAAGAAACCGCAAAAAGATGGTAGTGGAGATCCGACGCTGAAACGCAAATGAAAATTCAACGCTTAAATGTAGCCGCCTATAATGGTTGGAGAAAAATCATAACAAAACGAACCAATAAAAGAGTTTTCCCTATTTATCTTCGTTGTGTCTGTTTGTGATTTACTAACCAATAAAAATATAATTTGTGATACATTGGCCATATTGCTAATTTTATCTTACGAACTCATGAGTCGCATGAGAACCACTGCTATACACTTGCGAATCCATATAGAGGCGAGTGGAGGCTATGCTCGCCATGCAACAAAATATTCTCCATTAATTTGTCTTGTTACCTCAAAGAGAAATTTATAATAAAATTCATTTCTTGTATTGATTTTATATATAAATACTAAAAACTATAAATTGAAGAAAAAAAAAACTCAAAAAGGACATGCTGATGTGTGAAATACCATTATTATCCTTGCATTATGATTTTTTTTATATAACTTTAATGGTAGTGTTGTAATTTTTAGGTTTTTAAAGGCTTGTATTGGTCCCTTTGAAAAGTCAAAATGTGCTTTGTCCTAAGGCTTGAGTTTTGTAGGGCTTTTCTATATTTTTAGCCCTACTTATGAGCTTACCGTGTGAAAAGCCCAATTATCTTTTGATATTTTATTTAAAGGCAAAAGTAAGGTGCTCAATTAAGTGGCTCAAAGACATAATCAATTGCGGTCATAACATGTAATACAATAACATTACCCTTTTTTTTTTGTCATCCTGACATTACTATTTAACAAATTCAAAGTAGAGTTAATTTCAGTTTGGTACCCTCCAGTTGTACTCTTGTCATTGCACTCTCAATTTTAACAATTAAGTCCCTCATATTTGTAATTTTTTTTCAATGTGGCTCCACCGTTAACCTGGCCTTTAGAAAATCTGTTAAGTGATTATGTGTCATGTGCATGACCTTCTTTTTTGCATAAGAGAATAAAGTATTAATAAGATATTTTAAAAATTTAATAAAAATTTGAAATAATAATAATAATAA